AGAGAAGGCAGAGAAGGAGGAGGAGGAGGAGAACAAGAAGAAGAAGAAGAGAAGAAGAAGAAGAAGAAGAAGAAGAAGAAGAAGAAGAAGAAGAAGAAGAAGAAGAAAGAAGAAGAAGAGAAGAAGAAGAAGAAGAAGAAGAAGAAGAAGAAGAAGAAGAAGAAGAAGAAGAAGAAGAAGAAGAAGAAGAAGAAGAAGAAGAAGAAGAAGAAGAAGAAGAAGAAGAAGAAGAAGAAGAAGAAGAAGAAGAAAGAAAGAAAAGAAGAAGAAAAAATTCAACCTGACACAATGACAGTAAACAATCTATCAACATCAACCTCTGAGCAACATACCGTCAGGTCGGCTCCCCGCATGTAGGAGGAGAGCTGGTGGTCCTGCTGTGCTTGCTGAAGTTTTTCCATTAACTCGATGTACCTGCGGTTTAAGCGTTCTCTTGCTAGTGCCTCTTTCCCGCGCTGCTCTCTCTTCTGGGCCTCTTCCTCGGCTTCTTGTAGCTCTGCTTCAGCTTTGGCTGCAACCTCTTCTGCCTCTTTCCTTGCCATGTCATGAGCATTAGGCTGTCAATGTATTAACAACATACAGTTAAATCCCGTGAAATTCAAATGATCAAATTATGCATTCTTAAAAAGTGGAGATTAAAGCAGCACATATATGACATCTGTCACTAACCCCTAAATTCTAAGGATTCTACTTTTTTTCTTCTTTTTTTGTCTCCTTATTTACACATATATACATGATGCCCTACTTTATATGGTAGATAAAAGTTTGATTCATTTATTTGCGATTCATTTACATGCAGAATCCTTCCTTCTCATACCCTGTACCTAACTAATAGCTACATGATGAACGGACTGGAATACAAACTTATAGAATCAAGGTAATGGATACTTTCATCAATAGCTTCTATTCTGATGATGCATTGGGCAAAATCTACTTGACATATCAGAGTGATATATGCTTTTTTTTTTTTGTAAATGAAATCATGCTCTTGAAAAGACAGACCAAAATTTGCCATGATGAGTCCTGAAATATCTGGTCTATAGCTACAGCTCCAAAATTACAAACATACATACAGTACATACAGTATTACATACAGTACTTATAAATGTACATATTAGTAGTGCTGATCATAACAAATAACTTTTAACTCACATGAGTTGATTTTATTTCTTTTTCCACGACGGTATTCTTTGGCACATACTTGGTGGTGGTATATGTACCAGCCTCATACAGCTGTACCTCTGATACTTTTTCTTGTATGATGGGTCTAAAAATTACAAAATGAAAATCCATAAAAGTGGTTTTGTAATTTGGTAAAATAAGAGTGAACACAGGCTATCTATGACTTTAGTATAAAATTGATTTTTTTTTTTACAATCATTCTATTCAAAAATGAGATTTTAGACACTAATGGGACTGTTATTAAATTTCTAAACATGTGCCTCATGTTACTAAATAAAGTCCTCTTAAGAATGAACAATACTTTTTCTTCCTAAAGGCCTCTGGAATGGGAAGCTTTGCCACACGCTGGGCACGCGCTTTCTCAAGCTGAAGAGCATCTTGCCGTTGGCGGATGGGTCTATTTTTTTCGTGATTACGATGCGCTTGCTGTTCGGCTTCTGCTTTTGCTGCCTCACGACCTCTTCTGTTGGCCTTTATGTTGTTGTATTGGGCTCGGTCCGCTAGCACCTTGCTGGGGTCGGGCTGAAAGGTACATCTGGTGAGACTGCTGATTGCTTTCTAGTGAATATTGCATGTATGCATATACCACTGATCTTGATTATTCCAAATTATCCTTTCAATAATCTTATCTGTAACTTGTATGAGAGCAGATAGAGATCATTCTGCAAAACCCTTTTTAAGTATTTGTTATAATAAGCAAGTATTTGAAAACAGGCAAGTGTCAATATAACATTCATGTATTCATGTGCACAATAAAATCCCAGACTAACAAAACTAATGAACACAGAAGTAAAATGCTTCCAAGAAAGTAAATAATCAATTTTAAAAATCATGTAATATTGTATACAGTCTATTTCAAATGGATATATTAAAGAAATTTTATATCATGTTTTGAAGGACCACCTCATTCTTTGCTCCTCTGTGTGCTTCTCCAAATGCTTGCAAACACATGAGATATTCTTCCTGCAACTTCTTCTCAGTTACATTCTTATTATTAAGATATTTTGCCAAGAGCTCCTGCTTGAGACCATCCTCTATCTGTATTTTCTCGCAAACTACAGCTTTTCGAACTCGCTGTGCCTCCACTTTGGCCTGTTCACGGACCTGTAAATAAAAGTAATGTGGAAAATCACCTTACTGTTTGTAATTGGTTTCTAGAAAACTCTAGTAAAATTCATGAGGGTAATAGTCCAAAATAGAATAACATAAACATTCAGGAAAGTACACAATGGTAACTTAGAAAAAAAAAAAGAAATAACACACATTGTTACATAAATTATTCTATTCAAGCAAAGCATATATATATGTCACTGTCTGGCAAGTTTCCATCAGCCACATCCCTACACCTGCCTTAATCTTATTGTGAATGAAATGTAGTGAGTGTGACAGAGTAATTTTGGTGCTGTATGGCATATTTCTTCCATCCAAACCATAACTTTCTTCCTCCTGCCCCAAACACAGAGCTACTTTGACTTTATATGTCTTATAAGTATATCTAGGTACATATTCTATTTATTGTTTTATATAAAAAATATATGTGTTTTACTTCCATATTCAAGTATTCTCTCCATTTTCTTTCATATACTAGGGGTAACTGTGATAACATTTTCACCTCTGCATTCTATTAACATTCTAATTTGAGATGTGGCAAGAATATATACATTTTCTGATGCATAAACTGAGATCTTCAAATGCCTGCATCAAAAATTTGCCTTACTGAAGCTACATGTCTTTTGGTGGCTGAGGGAAAGACAAAAAGTTTTGTAGTTCTTAAGTGATAGAACGGATACATTTGGTACTAAAGCCACCATTATCTACAACACATACTCTGAAAAAATACAGCTTGTAAGCCTCCCTGGCTATTCATTACCAAATAAATAACAAGTTGAATCTCTATCTTGTCAGGGCAGTAACTTTTAAAAGTAATAATAGCTTGGGAATATTTTTAAAGTTCACACCCTATTAGCAATTTCACTGTATTCTGAATATTTACCATATCACCTACGTCTACACCACAAACAATTTTAATCATCCTGATGGCAAAGTTGCCATGCTCAAGTCTAACCTTTTTCGTTTGGATTTGCATTTACCTTAATCCAGTTGCCATGACAGCAGCATATCTAGTAATCAGTATAGCCATAGTGTCTAAGATGTTCTGCAAAAAGCAAACAAATTTCCACCACATATTTTATCATAATAGTATTTGGATTGATTCCTTACTTGATGGTTAACTGAGAGGTCTAAAGGCATAATTTTGCTAAAATACCCTTGCAGGAGGTTTGTTGGCCTTTTACCTGAACACTACTGATAAAGGCGCAAAGGCCACAGTAATCACTTTGATAAACTACCTCCAATATCATTTGCATTACTGGATTCTGCAGACTTAAACTCCATCTGAACTATATGCAGTGGACATATATTGAATGATATAAACTCACCTACAGGTCCTGCCCCTTCCCTATATGTATTAGGAATAGTTTGGGTTCTAACCACTCACAAATTCGTTTGAACCTGCATAATATAGCTTTCCTTTTCCTCCTATAAAATTACGAAAACTATACATACATACACATATACATACGTATATGTCTATATGTATGTACGTAAGTATGTACCTATATACATAAACATCTTCCTTGTGAATCAAATAACATAAAATCAGCAATTTATGCTTGACGAGTCCTGGCGTAAGAAAATTACAATAAAATATATACCTAATACAGAATAAGAACAAAACAGAATATAACCTGTTGAAGACGAAATATCTGCCATTTCTTCTTCTCTTCCCGAAGGAGATTATCCAGTTCATTTGGGCTGAGACGCAGATTTCTCCTTAAAGAATTACTCGTCATATTTTCATCATTTGAAACGGTTTGTTTACATGTGACGTCATCACGCATCCCGATCCTTGATTTCGTTTTTTTTTTTTTTTTTTTTTTGTCAAGGCTGTTTATAAATGCAAAAAGTCATTTGGGTTTAGCCACTTTCAGCGTCAATAAGATAATCAAATTTAATGAAATGATATGAAGTAAGTTAAAGTTGCTTTTGATTTCGAGGTACATAGGTCTTAATCACTCGTCCGATCAGCTACGGTTTTTTTTATACTATATGCCAAAAATGTATTTCCAGTTTTGCAGAATAGTCAAAGAGTATTATTGATATATACAGGCGCATATAGATGAAGTTCAATGCATAGTATGTAAAATATAAGCATATATGAACATATATTATGAAAGAACACGCATTGCGTAAAGGCATACCTGTAGATAATTATAACTTGCTATGAATCCAGGAAAAGTAAGATCTGGTATAAAATACCAAGTTACCAATAATATATTTCTTTGTGTAAATATATATACAACCAAATTACAATTACAGTTTCTCCAAAATAATCCATTTTATTCCTCAACGATAAGCTAAAGGAATCCCCATGTATCCGGATCAAGGATTCGTCTTCCAAGAACGGTACAAAAGAGGCCAGAAATTGAGCGCTCACCAAAACATCCAGCGAAGAGAAAACAGAAAGTCGAAAAAAACACAAATAACTAAGAATTGGAAGATGGCACCGAAAGCCAAATCGAGAGAGGCGATCGTAGCCAGCTTAACGAAGTACTTTAAACATGATTCCTTCAAGAGTGACTTACAGAGACGAGCTGTTGAGGCTGTTGTACATGGTGAGTCGGGGCAACAAGTTTACTTTGTGAAACCCATCGTTAATTAATAGACAGTTCATAAATTGATGTATATATAGGTATAAGTAAGTTTAATGCATACATAAGTATAAACATAATTAATAGGCAGGTGTAAATTGCACAAAGAAGCGAGTGCATGCATTAATGAGCGAGAAATTAAAGTAGTTAATGAATATTGGACAAAATCCTTTGATTACTTAAAAAAAAAACAAGAGATTAGATAAAGTGAAGTGCAATTACATTTAATAACCTGTAAAAATTAATGGCACAAAGTTACAATTCCAAATATATATCCCAAGAAGTAAATATGACAACTTTTATGAGCAGTACATTCTTAAGAAAATAGATCATTAATTAAATGTATTAAGAAATATATCTCATTTAAGCATAGATAACATGAATATAATGAATGATATAATGTACTAAAAGTCATAACTGATAATGAATAATTATCAATTAAAAATTGTTAGTTAGAAATATCTGTATGATTGATGAATGAATATACATTGTTGGGAATATTATAGCATATTATAATGAAGCAATTTTAACATCAGATTACATTATTTAGTGTTCTTAATTAAGTAAATAAGGAGTATAGAGATGATATGATTGTTTTATTTATTCAAAGAAAGTTAGATGTTTGTGGTGAAAATTTAGCATAAAGTTCTAGAGAAGTGTTAGATTTGTATACAAAATGCAAAAGTTATAAAATATTACTAACCCTTCCTCCTTTCTCCATTCACCTATTTCCCCTGTTAATATTTTTATTTTCTCTCTTCTGTCCATTCCTTCCATTTCCTTCCTCCCTACTTCCCTATTCATTCTTTCCCATTCTCTTGACAGTTTTTCTCTCCCTTCTGTTCTTCCTTTCTTCTGTTTCCCCCCTCCCTCCTTCCCTCCACTCCCTCACCTTCCTCATTCTTCCCCAGTCTCTTTGTTTTTCTCTCCCTTCTGCTTTTCCTTTCTTCTCTTCCTCCCTATCCTCCCTCTCAAACAACATAATGTGTGGCTATTCTTTTCTTTATAGGAGATCATGACGTGTTTGTGTCGATGCCAACGGGTTCTGGCAAGTCCCTTTGCTACCAGTTACCAGCAGTTATGTCCGAGGGACAAGTGGCCATTGTCGTTTCCCCTCTTATTGCCCTGATTAAGGTATGGTTGATTTGGTTGCTTGTTCTGGTGTGATTAGTAGATAATCAAGAGGGAAAGGGGAGGGAGGGAGGGGGAGAGGAAGGGAGAGGAGAGGGGAGGGAGAGGGAGAGGAGAGGGAGAGATGGAGGGAAGGGAGGGGAGATGGAGGGAGAGGGAGAGGAAGAGAGAGAGGGAGAGGGAGAGATGGAGGGAGAGAAAGAGAGAGGGAAGATGGAAGGAGAGGAGAGGAAGAGAGAGAGGAGAGGAAGAGAGAGCAAGAGATGGAGGAGAGGGGAGGAAGAGAGGAGAGGAGAGATGGAGTGAAAGGAGAGAAAGAGAGAGAGGGAGAGATGGAGGAAGAGAAGAGGGAGAGATGGAGGAAGAGAGAGGGGAGAATGAGGAAGAGGAGAGGAAGAGAGAGAGAGAGATGGTGGAAAGGGAGAGGGAGAGAGAGAGGAGATAGGGTCAGAGGGTGGTAGGGGTTGGAGGGAGAGAGGAATAGGGTTAGAGGGAGAGAGGGAGGAAGGGTTGGAAGGAGAGAGGGAGGAAAGGTTGGAGGGAGAGAGGGGGGGAGGTTTAGAATGAGAGAGGCAGGAAAGGTTTAGAGAGAGAGGGAGGAAAAGGTTGGAGGGAGAGAGGGAGTTGAAAGGTAGGGTTGGAGAGAGAGGGCAGGAATGGTTGGAGGGAAAGAGGGAGGAAAGGTTGGAGGGAGAGAGGGAGGAAGGGTTGGAGGTAGACAGGGAAGTAGGTTGGAGGGAGAGAGGGAGGTGGAGGGAGAGAGAAAAGGAGGGAGGGCAGGAGAGAGGGAGGAAGGCAGGGAGGTAGGGAGGGAGAGTAATGAAGGTGGCAAGAGTAGACATAGGGAGATCAAGCTAAACTGCTAGTAAATATGTGCCTTGGCAGTCCAGCACTTGCTGCCCCCCTTTTTTTCTTTCAATAGATAGCAGTATTTGCATTCAATCTCTTTTATATATATGCCAAAGGTATTTTATTACCATTATTAATTGGAATACATGAATGCTAATGAAGACAAACAGTCAAAGAGTAGCTGTCACAAAGTGTTCTTGATATTTTCTGATTTTTCTCTAAAATTACCAGGATCAAATGGAGCATTTGCAGAAACTGAAGATTGTTGCAGAATCTATCAACTCCAAAATGACAAGCAAAGAGCGCAAGAGAGTGCTTGCTGATCTCTCTTGCATGTCCCCAAACACTCGCCTTTTGTACATTACGCCTGAACAGGCTGCAACAGATTTTTTTAAGGTATTTAATGTAGTTTTTCCTCTCTTATTGATCTTATATCTTCATGAATAGTTTATGTATATACAAAATGTGTATATTTATATCTAAGCTTATGGAGCATTATATGGTTTTGTATTATGACTTTTGAAAGGTACCAGAAACACCTATCACCTTGCTTAGTATACAATATTTTACAGGGTCTCTTAGATAGGCTGTACAAGTACAAAAAGCTCTCATATTTTGTGGTGGATGAGGCCCATTGCGTGAGTCAGTGGGGGCATGATTTCAGACCAGACTTTCTTCGCTTGGGACATCTGAGAACCAAGATTCCCAATATTCCTTGGGTGGCACTGACTGCTACAGCCACAGCTAGAGTAAGAAGAATTTACTTTGTGTGTGTGTGTGTGTGTTTGTGGTTGTGTTGTGTGTGTGTGTGTGGTGTGTGTGTGGTGGTGTTGTGTGTTGTGTGTGTGTGTGTGTGGTGTGTTGTGTGTGTGTGGTGTGTGTTGTGTTGTGTGTGTTTGTGTGTGTGTGTGTTTGTGTGTGTGTGTTTGTGTGTGTGTGTTTTGTTTGGCATTTCCCATGATTTTTCTTGTATCTTTTTTAGTTGATATTTTGCTTGATAGAGTAAACAAATCTATAAATCCGATGTATATATGTAACACATTTTTTGGTCAGGTTGTAGAAGACATCTTCATGCAACTGAAGCTCAAGAAACCAGTATCTAAGTTCAAATCATCTTGCTTTCGCTCCAATTTGTTTTACGATGTGCGATTCAAAGATGCCCTAGACGACCCTTTCGAGGATCTCAAGGATTTTGTCATCCAATCCTTGGGGGTTGGTTGGGAGCAAAATCGGACGGTGAGCTATAGTAGTTTTGTATACCTCTCATTTTTATTTTTTCTACTGCTTCTTCTCTTCCTTTCCTTTTTTTGTTTTTTATCTTTTTAATCTCTACTTTGGTGAATAGATACAAATGCTGAAATGAAGTATTTTGTCTTGCTTAGGTATTACTACTAGGAAAAGCTGTGTTACAAATACATTTATATATTTTCCTTTTTAGATAATAAGGTCGAGAAATGTAGAATGTGTCTTGAGGTCAGAATAATCCACAGATACGATCAGGGTGTGGCATTATCTATTGTCGCACAAGAGCAGGTACCATTGAGCTTGCAGACCAACTTTCCAAGAAAGGGGTCCTAACCAAGGCCTATCATGCAGGTAATTTGTCTTTCTTTCTTTCATCTTTCTTTTGTTCTATTATCTTTTTTTTCATTCCTCTGTACCATTGTACTCCTCTTCTGTTTCCTCTGCATCTCTGGCTTGTCATGCTTCTCTGTTGTGATTGAGTAATTGAAAGTTATTTGTGCTTCTAGAAGTTACATAAATGTAAAATGAGTAAGTAGATATTTTATTAGGTATTTCTGCTTCTTTCTTTTCCATTTTTAATCTTACTGCCCCATGTGGTAGAGAATCTGTTAGTATCTTCACAAGTTATGAATGTAATTGGACGATTTGTATTTTTGCTGCGCCACTACAGGTCTGAAAGACAGAGAAAGGTCGCAAGTGCAGGAAGACTGGATGGACGGAAAGGTGCCTGTCATCACAGCAACTGTCTCCTTTGGCATGGGGGTAGACAAGGCTTCTGTGAGGTAATTTGTGGGAATTATCAGCAAGTAAAGTCTCTGTGTGTATGTATAGATAAATATTTGTAAATATTGATATCATAGCCTACATTTATGCAAATTTCAGTGTCAAAGAAAATTTTGTCCTGGGAAACAAATATGATTGTATTTTATGTCCCAGTGAAGCAGATTTTTGCCTTGGGACATTTAATAGAATGCTTTTATATCCAGTATGAACATATATGGATATTTGATACAGTCTGATCACAGGCACCCTAGTTTTAACATAGAAAAATGCACAAAAAAATGCTTACACCTACCAGTAATACCAATGTTATAAAATATTTATGTATTAAGACAAAATCATATCAGTAATGGATTCACTTGATCACAGATTCCCATCTGGTGACTTAAACTTCTTCATAGTCTATGACAAAACACTGCGAGTTATCAATGATTTAGTTTGGTGCAGAGATGTGTGAATGCATCAACTGAAGCATTTTGAATTATTCGTGCTTTCTGGCTCACACGTGCCAAGAGAAACCTCCTGTTTTCAGTTAGTATTGCCTTTTCTTATGTAAAACATTTAATTTCAGTTAGACTGAATCCAACTAATTTACTGTGTCTGATATGAATAGATAGAATAGCATATATCACTCTTGGCATTATTTATAATGTGTAAAGCACCCCCTCATGTACCATGGCCTACTAAAATGTGTAATTCTTAAACCCAACCATATATATGTGTGTGTGTGTGTGTGTGTGTGTGTGTGTGTGTGTGTGTGTGTTGTGTGTGTGTGTGTGTGTGTGTGTGTGTGTGTGTGTGTGTGTGTGTGTGTGTTTTTGTGTGTATGTTTTGTGTTTGTTTATGTGTGCATATATGTATGTATGTTTGTATATGTTGTATATGTATATGTATGTATATGCATATGCATGAAATTAAAATCTAAAACTTTATTGGCCTACCGTGGGAAATTCTCCTAAGAATACTAATAAACTAAAAATACAGTGGAATTGGCATGTACATAGATGCCATCCCCATGCTATTGGATGGCAGGATTTTGGAGTGAAGGATAATTCTCAACCCTATGGTTACGGGACCAGATTTGTTTGTGATGTAATATTACAAAATAGTCTAAACTCTATGGCTAGGCCTAAACTGTTTAGAGCCGCTACCCACTGCGAGACATGATGGCTGTAGCTGTTACCATCACCGAGGGGTTAATCAACATTTTATTCTTAGGTTTGTTGTCCATTGGAGTGTGCCACAGTCCATGGCTGGCTACTACCAGGAGTCTGGACGAGCTGGTCGTGATGGACTACCCTCGCGGTGTAGAATATATTATAGCAAGTCGGAGAGAGACACTATCTTTTTCCTGCTAAGACAGGTAAACAATGACTAAATATATATATGTGTGTGTGTGTGTATGTGTGTGTGTGTGTGTGTGTGTGTGTGTGTGTGTGTGTGTGTGTGTGTGTGTGTGTGTGTGTGTGTGTGTGTGTGTGTGTGTGTGTGTGTGTGTGTGTGTGTGTGTGTGTGTGTGCGTGCGTGCGCACATGTATGAATTATACAAATGAGAAAAAAGTATTATTTCAGTACATGCATCAAAATGTACAATGTTGTCTTCCAGGATGAAGGGAAAGCAAAAGCATCAGGCAAGACAAACAAAGAAGACCAAGCCAAAATTGCTATAAAGAATTATGAGTATATGGTCAAGTTCTGTGAGGTCCCAATGTAAGTCTAAATGTTAAGACAGCTTTGTAGTTATTTAGTAAACATGAGAGAAAGAGAAAAAGAAGTAGATGTTCTTAAATGGTTGAATGGTAAAATCATTAAATAAAATTAATGTATATTGATGTTGTATATGTAATAGTTGTATGTGGCTGTAGTATGACTAAACTGTATATAATATTTATATGGAATTAGACACACAGCCACAAATTGTTTGAGAGCAGTGTTATTTGGCAATCAAGATAAAAACAAATATTTTGTCCAGAACCAAAGAATGAAGATAGATAAATAGATAAAAAGTAAATAAAAAATGTGACAATAATAAAATCTTAATACAGAAAATATAAAGATATATATCCCACATTCCCAACAGCTGCAGACACCATTCCTTTGCCAAGTTTTTCGGTGACGATAAACCCGATTGCAAGAAGAGGTGCGATTACTGCACCAACCCGCGTGCTGTCGATAAGCTGGTAGAGCAGTGGAGCGCCTCCCTCATTCGCAAGTCAAATTATCGGTTTGGGGCAGTGGCAGTGTTTGAGGATAGCTACGATGAGGACTTGTATGGCGGCGGGAGAAGGGGGCAGAAAAGGTAGCTAAAGCTTTAGGGGGTATTAGGTATTTGCTTTCCCATGTATTCTCCTCCTTATCCATTGGCATTGGATAATTTGCTTTCTTTTAAACTAACACTCTCTCTCTCTCTCTCTCGTTCTTTTTTTTTCTTCTTTCTCTCTTTTTCTTTCCTCCTCTTTCTTCTTTTTTCTTTCTTCTTCTTCTTCTTTCTTCTTTCTCTCTTTCTTTCTTTCCTTTCTTTCTTTTTCTTTTTTCTTTCTTTCTTTTTCTTTCTCTTTTCTTTTCTTTTTTTTTCTTCTTTCTTTCTTTCTTTCTCTCTTCTTTCTTCTTTCTTTCTTTCTTTTTTTTCTTTTCTTTCTTTTCTTTCTTCTTCTTCTTTTCTTTCTTTCTTTCTTTTCTTTTCTTTCTTCTCTTCTCTTTTTTCTTCTTTTCTTTCTCTTCTTCTTTCTCCTTTTATTTCTCTCTTTTCTTCTCTCTTTCTCTCTTCTTCTCTCTCTTTCTCCTCTTCTCTCTTCTCTCTTTTTCTCTCTCT